TGTGCCAATGTCATCGCCCTCAGGCCCCACCAACACAGTATCCAATGTTGCTCATCTCTGTCTGGCGTCATCGCCCTCCCATCCCTGCTCGCCCCTCCCATCCTTCATCGCCCTCCCATCCCTGGTTGCCCCCCCCATCGGCCAGACCCTCCTCCCACGTCTCAAAAATGCAATGAATATGAGCAAGAGTGATAGAAAGAAAACAAGTTGCAAAATCACGCAAAGTCCAGATAGTCATGTACCAAGCAGAGAGCTCAAATTCACCAAGATTCCATCCAAATAAGAGCAAAGCAGTGAACTCGTGTGCCAATGTTCTCACACAGAGGGCCCTTTCAGGGCCTGTCCGGTTGGGGTACCAGTTCTAAAAAAAACTCTGCATTATTTTTTGGGTACCCCAGGCCCAGGTAAACGGCCTGGGAACCCCCCAAAAAAAATTCGAATTTTTCGAAATCGGGGTCCAACCGGACCCTCTGAACCGGAGACCGGACCTGGACACCGGACAACAGACTGTCTGGATCGGGATCCGGACGTCCGGTTGGTGACCATGATCTATATGTATGCATGTTGAAAGTGAGGTTGAAGACGAGTCTGATTGCATGTTGTTGAACAAAATAAAAATGTTACTATTAATTGCTCTCAACTATTGCAGAACGTTCTCTGATGCTGATCTAGTGGGATATCATTTGACAGTGACTGGTTCAAGCGGAACAAGTTTTTGTTCTTGTTTGTTCATTTGTTTGCACAACTGCAGCCTTATGGCTGCGATGCCATTCTTCTATTCAGGGGAGTATCAGTCCCATGGCTACACCGGACCCAGACACAAGACGAATCCGGACGTCAGGCCAGACCTCCGTCAGGACGGCTCCTGACCGTCCAGAGTTCTGGACAGGGTCCGGACACTCAGACAGACCGGATCCAGACTGTCTGGACTGGTCCACTGATGCCCAGCTATGTCCGGGGGGGGCGAGGGGGGGAATTGTGGTGCCATGGACCAGGTATCGGATATTAAACTGATAAGAACAGAATTGACAGACGCTGCACTTCATCTTAGCGAAAACGATGGGAAAGGTATGAAAAAGGGAATTGGTTGGGGGATGTTGAACTCGGAAAGTTTGAACTTTGAACGATTTTCACTTACCTCAGTTTACCAACTTTACCTCATACTGAAGCATATCCAATGGCACAGATGACAATATGAACTAGAACTTAAAAATTCAAATCCCTAGGCTGTGCCGGCAACCGGCCGGTTGGACCCCTGTGGTCCAACTGGAATTCCAGTTGGGCCCAAAAGTGGGTCATTTTTTTTTTATTATTACTTTTTTAAACATGGTTCAACTGCGCACGTCGAGATCTCCCCGAATCCGCCAAGAGAACTTCGAACAGAGAAGTTT